AATGCCTGAGCTTAGGCAATCCTCCTGCCTCTTTCCTCAGCCTCCCAAGTAGCGGGGACTATAGGCACACACTACCATGCCTGGCATTGTTTTCTATTTTTAGTAGAGATGGGGTCTCGCTCTTGAAGGCTGGACTCAAACTCCTGAGCTCAAGTGATCCTCTGAACTCTCCCTCCCAGAGTGCTGGGATTATAGGCCTGGCCTGCTTTGTCTTTTTTAAATGTGTCAAAGTCTTCATTTAAAAAAACAGGTGGGGGGAGGTAGAGAAGAGCTTTGCTCCAAGGCCCCAAGAAATCTCTTGAGTTCTGTTAAATGTTCCCTTTTTATTAAGCGCATTTTCAGAAATAGAAAAGTACGTTGGCTCTTAAGAGATCCAATGTGCAAGTGAACCTGGCACTGGTCCTGATACTACAGTAAATACCTGGGGCCTTGCTTTCTGAAAATACCGGGGGCCATCCTTCAAGAAACTTTCCTGATCAGGCCAAGGCCTAAAACCATACAGTAATGTAAAGAAAAACAAAGTGCTCTCCAACCAAGCTACATCCTCCAGCCTTACAAGTCAGGGAGCTTCTGGAAGGCAGAGTCTAGCACAGAGAAGGTGCTCAGTGGACAAATGGACTCCACCTTGTGGCCATACTGGAGAACTGCACCACTGCCTCTAGGGTCTTACCCCCAATCAACCCTCCCTGTTTCCTGGATCCTCTCATACCTTTAGTCCCTTAAAAAATAAAAGAATAAGATAAAGTCTATTTCGTGCACCTTAAACACAATGGATTTCAAACCAACTATATTCTTTACCCTTCTGGACTCCTTCTATCAGTATTATTTGCTTTCATTAATTTCTTCAATGGGCCAGGTGGTTAAAAACATTTTCACAATTAATCCTTACAGTAACCCAGGAGACAAAAATGTTACTATGCCTTTTCACAAATAAGGAGATCTAGGTACACGGGCTCAGAGAATTTCAACAACTTGCCCAAGGCCACACAGCTAATTAGTTGGGAGAGCTGTAATTTGAACCAGGTTAATTAGATCCACAATACAAGTACTTTCCACCAAACCACACTGCCTCTTAGTTGATAGGATTTTTATTTACTCAGATTTTCAAGCTGTAAATTAGTAAGGGGATGCTTGTTGTTGCCTCTTTGTCACTACTTCTCTCATTAGCAGAGATGGCTTGCTGCCATTATCTCCTGAATAATACTGGAATTTCCCTTCCTCTCTTTCCCCACTGCCACACTCTCACTTTGGCTCTTCCTCATATCTCATATGAAATACTGCAATGGCTTCCTAATAGGGTACCAGTGTATCTTCCAGCCCACCCCTCCCCCACTGGAGACAGTGTTCTAGTTTTAAAATCCAAATGGGAAAAGACACAATCCATCCATAGGGCATTTAGGCCATATGTATCAAAAGCCTTAAAAATGTCTATACCCTTTCAATCAGTAATTCTACTGTGAATCTATTTTTTAAAATCCTGTATATAAGAAAGCTATATGGACAAAGATGACAAGGCAGTATTATTGATGCAGTATATTCATTCCTTTCAACTTAAAGAATTTCCATCGTGGGATAGATTATTCAAATCAACTTAATTTCTACTCCAAATGTATAGGATTTTCTCCCTCAGGCCATCCTTGGAGATCCTAGGAACACCCTGCACTTATGGGTCATCACTGGTCATTGCCAAGGCCACCAGTGTCCCAACTGACCTGGTTCCCTCAGTTCTAATAGAACACTAGCTTTCATGCCACCCTTGGGACCTATGGCTATTGGTGAGGCTGGGAACCTCTTGGCTGTTCCTCTCTGAGGTCTGGCCACCCCCCTGCAGTATAGTCAGAGAACAGGGCACAGGTCCTAGCTGTTGTAGGACCTCTCCCCTAGCCGGAAGCAATCATTCAAACTGGGGCAAATCCACCACTGCCTGCTCAGATTTCCTGTCCCCTTTCCTTCCTGTACACTAAGGCACCTCAGGGGGGGGTAGGCTTTTTGAAAACAAAGCCAGGAAAGGAAATGTTTTGCAGGCAACTTCTGCTTTCAGCCTGCCATAAACCTTCCCAGAGGAAAGTAAAACAAAGCCTACTACCTGCTTGAGGAGGGGAAAGGAGGAAATACAAGGGGAAGTCCCACATTTGCAGCTCAAAAAATTATCCAACTTTAAGAAGCTTATTAATGAGACAATATCATAAAATGTGAATGTTAGACATGAAGTCTGTGGGTTGCATGCAGATGCTGATACAGCCTGGTACCATACAATTGGCAAAACCCATTTACTTTACCCAGTTGCTCCAGATACAAATTTCCAAAGTTCTGGTGAAAATGGTTGAATGAATATAGTATTATAGCAACTGCACTTGGCTTTTCCAGCTTTACATTCTCTTCCATGCCTATGGAAATCTCCTCCCTATCTGTAGCTTTAACTGTTGCATCCGTAGGACCAACCATCCCACCTTCATCTCCAGCCTTGACTTCCTAACTTTGGCTCCATGTCTCCAACAGGCCACAGGCAGCAGCACCACCTGGGAATCTCACTTTCACTTCATGTCCCATATCAACTCATTGTCTTCACCCAAAGTCAGCTTCCTCTGCACAAGTCTCAATCTGTGAATGAGGTAGGGAAGTAAAATCCAAGTAAAGTTCATTCCTCTATACTGTCCACTTATGAAAGACTCCAAATGCCTACAGAAGTCCCTGACCTAGGGGATCTTTTGCAGAAGTTGCTATATTTGGTACCACCTCACAGGCAAATGAATGGATTGGACGGAGTCCTGATCCCAAGGGTATCCAAGCTATTGGCCAATCTAGATCTTCTGAAGGAGCTTGGAGTGAAAGTTCTGACCAAAATGAATGCCCTCTATTAAACGGTGACAGCCAACAATCAGATTATCTCTCTTGGGGCTTTAAAGAGACACAGACAGACAGGGTTGATAATGGCAGGAGGGTAAAAGCAGAGATAGAAAGAGGTAATAGTTGACTTCCTATGATGTGTTTCCAAGAATTATGTCAGGAACTCTGTTGATCTAATCCTCTTTTACAGCAGTGGGTTTTCCAGGAAGCTGGGGAGTAGAAAAGAATATAGTAGATGTTTCTCGTCTTTCTCTTCCCTCCATTCCTACTTCTTTCTTTATTTTTCTTTTCCTTTCTTCTTCTTTTCATTTTCTTTCTTTCTTTCTTTGTCCATCCCTCTATTTATTTTTCTTTTCTGTTTCTTTTGGTCTACCCAGTGTCTGAATAACCTCCCTATTTGAGGGGAATCCCCCATTATATACCTGGCAGAAGGCAGGGCCACAATTCCCACTATGGAAGCTGAGTGGGTCAGTTACTTTCCGGCCCCACACCCTGGAAGCTGGAGCTTGGGCACAACCTAGTGAATCAGACACTCAGAGTCAGTTAAGAAATAATTTGCTGGGCTGGTCCAAATGCAGAGGTGTTCACAACTAATCGATCACAACCAGTTACAAATTCCTTTGTTCTTTCTCCACTCCCACTGCTTCACTTGACTAGCCTTTAAAAGAAAAGAAATAATTTACTGCAACACCATCAAATGTCATCAGTGGCAGCATTTAGCATGCAGTGGCCATGGTGTCAGCAGCAGCAGTGTGCTAGCCAGACTCTCCCTGCAGGGAGAAAAACTGCAAATCTACAGAAAAGTTGGAAGAGTACAGTGGATATAGCCTTTACTTAGTGAATTAGTTACTGCAAAACAAACTACTCTAAAACATAGCAGCTTAATGGAACAAGCATTTATCATGCCACAGTTTCTGTGTGCCAAGACCCCAGGCACTGCTAAACTGGGTCCTCTGGTCTCTCACGGGCTACAGTTAAGGTGTCAAGAGGGTTGCAGTCTCACACGAAGGCTTCACTTGGGAAAGATCTGCCTCCAAGCTCACTCACATGGTTGGTGGCAGGATTCAGTTCCTCACAGGCTACTGGACTGAGGGTTTCAGTTCCTCACCAGCTGTTGGCCAGAGGCCTCCCTGGGTTCCCTGAAGATGGGCCTCTTCTCCATAGAGCAGTTCACAAGATGGTAGCCAGCTTCCATGTGAGCAAGTTAGGGAGAAAACATCCAAGATGGAAGCCAAAGTCTTTTGTAACCTTATCACAGAAGTAACATCCCACATGCTCTTTGCTAGAAGCCAGTCTCTAAATCCAGCCCATACTCGAGGGAAAGAGATTGCACAAAGGTGTTAATTCCAGGAGAGAAGCTCAGGATTCACTGAGTGCCATTTTGGAGGGTGTCGACCACAATTTCATTGATTATTAACATTTCATCACATTTGCAAGTGCACCCCCTTATACAAATAGCTAGCTATAAGGCAGACATGGTGGCACGTGCCAGCTAGTTGGGAGGCTGAGAAAGGAGGATTGCTAGAGCCCAGGAGTTTGAGGTTTCAGTGAGGTATGATGATACCATTGCACTCCAGCCTGGGCAACAAAGTGAGACCCCGTCACTAAAACTAAATTAATAAAATGGTTCATTTAAAAAAAAAACAAAACATATCTTAGAGAATATTATGGAAAAGAAGAATAAAACCTATCTATAATAAAATTTTTTAAATAGCTATAAATACAAATATAGATTTTGTTAAACAACCAAAATCAAGCTACAGACATTATAACATTTCACCTGTAATTACTTCAGCATGTATCTCCTAATAAAAACATTTTCCCACACAACTACAATGTCATCTCTCCCCTCAAATTTAACAACCATGCTATAATATCATCTAATATTAGCCCACATTCAACTCTCTCCAACTATCCCCAAAATAACTTTTATAGCTCTTTTTTTTTCCTGCTCCAGTATCCAGTCAAGGTTCTTGTATTATTAATATCAACCCAAATTCAACTCTCTACAACTACCCCCCAAAATAGTTTTTTTTTTTTGCCTGCTCCAGTATCCAATCAAGATTCTTGTTGTTGGGTTGTTATTATCTATTTAGTCTCTTTTGATCTAGAAAAGTTATTTCCAATAACATGTTTCTGGGTTTTTTTCATACCATTAATGTTTTTTGGAGCATTCAGGTCAATTGTTTTGTATAATGTCCCACCATTCTGGAGATGATTATTTCCTCATGGTGTTTATCTTGTTCCAGTATCCACTGTGTTTCCTGTAAGCAGGAAGTTAGGTTAATATTTTTGTAAAGAATACTACTTAGGAGGCTATGTCTGGTAGTTCCACTACTGGCGATGTTTGATCACTTGGTTATGGTGGTAACTGTTTAATCTCTCCATTATAAATCCATAATTTCCCTCTTATAATTAGAAAGTAATCTGTGGGGCAATACCTGAACTCTGGGTGAATATCCTGTCCCCTGACAAGATGTCTCCCAATAGTCTTAGCATCCATTAGTAATCCTTGACTTGGTTAATTGTTACATTTTGGTTTGCAAAAAGATGATTTTCTAATCTAACATTACTTCTACATTTACCACGCTGTAAAAATGAGGGTTTTTTTCCTCCCCTCATTTTTTATGTTTTGAGCTTGATTATAGTCTCATGGGCTTTTTAAAAAAGTTACAATAAATTAACATTATTCTTTTTGATTTGCAAATTGTCCCACATTTGGCCAATGAAAAACTCCTTCAAGCTGTTTTTCAGAAAATAGTTTTACTGAGATATAATTCACCTACCATCCAGTTCACCCATTTATAGTATACAAATCCATGGTTTAATTTAGTCACAGAGGTGTGCAATCACTGCTACAATTTTAGAACAGTTCATCATCCCAAAGAGAAACCCATTATTCATCAGCAGTCACTTCCAATTTCCCCCAACTGCCTCAGCCCTGGGCAACTACTAATCTACTCTCTGTCTCTATAGATTTGCCTATTCTGGACATGTCATATAAATGGAATCATATATGGTCTTTTGTTACTGGTTTCTTTCACTTAGCATAATGTTTTCAGGGTTCATGCATGTTGTATAGCATGTTCATCCATGTTGTATAGCATTCTTTTTATTTGCCAGATAACGTTCCATTTTGTGGTTACACCATATTTTATTTATCTATTCATCAATTGATGGACATTTGAGTTGTTTCCACTTTTTGGCTATTATGAATGCTGCTATGACCATTCATGTACAGGTTTTTGTATGAAGACATATTTTCTCTTGGATATGTACCTAGGAGTGGAATTGCTGGGTCTTATGGTAATTTTATGCTTAATCTTTTCAGAAACTGCCAGACTGTCTTCCACAGTGGCTAAACTATTTTATGTTCTGACCAGCAACGTATGTATGAGTGTTCCAATTTCTTTACATTGCTCAACAACACTTGCTATTATCTTTTTATTATAGTCATCCTAGAGAATATGTAGTGGTATCACATTGTGGTTTTGATTTGCATTTCCCTAAGGCTAATGATATTGAGTCAGTTTTTCCCCAGGTACCTTTGGTCTCTTCCAAAAATTCATGTCTTATTTTACTTCCAGAAATGTTTCTTGAATTATAGGTTTGTTTCACTAGTATGTTTTTTCCTTTGGAGAATCCAATGACACATATGATGGCTCTTCTTTGTCTATCTTTTATATCTCTCACTTTTTACCTGGTATTTTTACTTCTTTTCCAAATTTGTTTTTGGTTCTCTTAGATATTTTAATTTTTTTTCTCAATGTCCCTGTTGAATTCTTAGTCTATTTTCCCTTGGACATCATCTAATTTAGTTTTCATATCTCAAGAGTATTTTGGCTTTTTCTTTTATTCCTTTCCTGAGTTCAGTCAATTTTCATTTCATACCTTTCTGTTGTGTGCCCATTTCTATTTTGAGCTTTTAAATATCTGATTTTTGGTCTCCCTTATAGCTACAGTTGCTTACTAAATGATATTTAATTCATGTTAAGAGTGTTATCTTGTAGTTTTCCTCTGGGTTTTGGTTGTTGGGGGGTTAATTTTCATTAGCCAAAAAGGTTTGGTTTTTATTTTGCTCTTATAGTTGTTTTATATGGATGTTGGTTGCTATTTTCTGTTTATTTCAAAATATCTTGTATCTTCCCAAGCCAGAAATAACAGGTGTTTCCACATAAAGGGAGGTAACAGTACAGAAAGCCTAAGAGGTATAAGTCACAGTGCAAGAAAGAGGTTTATAAAGGAAGAAAAGAAGGAAGATTTCTTAGGAAAGAATTTATGATGAATGTGAGCATTTTAAAATAAATTACTGATAGAAATATAACACAAATGATAGAAAAAATAAGAATACTATGAAATCTATGTAAGTAAAAAAAATAGTTCCAGAAATAACAAAAAGTTGTACAAGAGAGAAAACATAACCATAATACAGAATTTAACTCAGTAGTAAACAATATTTACCAAATCATAATGATAGAAATGCTGCCAAACGTGGGGTCTCATACCTGTAATCCCAGCACTTTGGGAATCTGAGGCAGGAGGATCACTTGAGGCCAGGAGGTCAAGATCAGCCTAGATGACATAGAAAGACCCTGCCTCTATAAGAAAAAAAAAAAAAAAAATAGCCGAATGTGGTCGTACACTCACGAGGCTAAGGTGGGAGGATGGCTTGAGCCCAGAAGTTTGAGTTTGCAGTGAGCTATGATCATGCCACTGTACTCTAGCCTGGGCAACACAGCAAGACTCTGTCTTTAAAAAAAATAGAAGGGCTGGGCGCATCGGCTCATGCCTATAATCTTGCACTCCAGGAGGATTGCTTGAGCTCAGGAGCTTGAGACCAGCCTGAGCAAGAGCGAGACCCCATCTCTACTAAAAATAGATAAAATTAAGCCTGGTGCGGTGGCTCATGCCTGTAATCCTAGCACTCTGGGAGGCTGAGGTGGGTGGATTGTTTGAGCTCAGAAGTTTGAGACCAGCCTGACCAAGAGCGAGACCCATCTCTACTAAAAATAGAAAGAAATTATATGGACAACTAAATATATATAGAGAAAAAATTAGCTGGGCATGGTGGCGCATGCCTGTAGTCCCAGCTACTGGGGAAGCTGGGGCAGGAGGATTGCTTGAGCCCAGGAGTTTAAGGCTGCTGTGAGCTAGGCTGACACCACGGCACTCTAGCCCCAGCAACAGAGCGAGACTCTGTCTCAAAAATAAATAAATAAATAATAAAAATTTTAAAAACATAGAAGAAGAAATACTGTCTGTTGAACTAAATGAAGAAAATTGTGATGTAGAATATATAAGGTAGATGAGGGAAAATGGGAAAAGGGCCATAATAGGACTAAATCTTCAACAACAATAATTAGAAATTAACAGATAGATCTCAAACTCATGAATCAATAAATAACAGTACAAGCACATTACTTAAAAATATGAAAACAGAAGAGAAAGCTAAAAATTTGAAGTTGCATCTGATAAAGGAGACTAAGGGGGTTGAATAGGCAGTAAGATTCGTCTTACAAGTTTTTTAGCACTATGTGATTTTTTAAAAACAATTTGTGAGTGTATGCTTTAATAACATAAAATTTTTACAGTTCAAAAGTCCTCATGTTTTTGTGAAAAAAATTAAAAAATTTAAAAAATAAAAAATATTTAAATAAATTTAAAAAATAATAAATAAAAAATTATTTAAAATAACATAAAATTTTTAGTTTAATGATGAAGAGTTTTTTTAAATCTTGAGATTTTGCCTGCGTAGGTTATTCATTTCATGAAACAATAAGCTGTAACAGATAGAAGGACTTATTTATTTCTTTGACAATTTTCCCACAATTAATAAGATCTTATTTCTCATGTGTAAACAGGAATAAAAAACTCATTGCAAATTTCACAAGGAAAACTACCGAGAGAAAAATATTAAATGCTATTTCAAGGTTTTGTAACTTCCAAATTACACCAAACATTATTTCTTTAAATTCTAAATTTAATTTAGAATTAAATTATAAAAATTTAAATTATAAAAATCAAGACCCCCTCCACTAAAAAAGTATTTAATATAATAAGTATTAGTATAGGTGCCTAATTAGTAAAAAATATGAAACAATTTTTCATTTAAAGCTTTATATAACTAAGAAACTGATACTAAATCTGTTCATTTAAAACAGTCCATATCACTGGGGAAAGAGTTATCAAATTCTAAGGCAATTTTCAATGAGAGTAACACTAAGGATCAAATTTCAGGACAACAAGAATGATGTCAGACTTAAACCACATTCACTATGAACTAAACAATGAGCTTTTTATTCCTGTTTACACATGAGAAATAAAATCTTATTAATTGCGGGAAAACTGACTAATGTCAAAGAAATAAGTCCTATCTGTTGCAGCTTATTGTTTCATGAAATGAATAACCTACACAGGCAAAATGTTAAGTTTTTAAAAAATGTGTCACTATAGATTAAAAAATGATGACTGAGGGATGAGGACAAGTGGGGAGGAAGGCTGGTCCTAGCACAGCTGTCCCACCTCCCCTGACACGGGGCCTAGGTATCTGCAGAGCAACAAAAAGCTGAGGGCCAGACAAAATTTTTAATTAAATTTTCTGGCGCAAGGAGTATAACCATACACAGTTCCAGGCTTATTTTGCCCAAGCTTGGAGACACTAGAGAAAAGAAAGAGCCTCATTTTCCCAGCCTCATTCTCTAAAATCCCCAACAAGGACTCAGACCATCCCAGGTTGGGTCACATGCCCTTCCTTAGGGATATCTCTGAGGACGAGAAGGGAGACTCTAGTCAGCCAGGCCTGGGCACCCTGCTTCCCCTTCTCCACACCCATCCTGCCTTAGGAGGCCAGAGAAGTGTGGTTCTAAAGAACCATCTGATCTAGGGGATTGCAGACAATTCCTCAAAGAAAAGATCGTCTGACAAACACAAAAGATGCTCACAACACAAAATTACAGAATGTCAGAACTGAAAGACACCTCGGAACTCATCCATTCTATCCCCTCTCTTATAGAGGAGAAAACCATACAAGGTGGAAGATGTTAAAGACTGTGGGAAAGGTAGAGTGCTGCAGGGGTTCAAAGGATGGACAAACACACATCTGGCTGAGGATATCGGGGTGGGCTCGGTGAAGGTGGGTGGATTTGACCTGGGACTTGACAGAGAGTGTAATGTGCTTGTCTTCTGCTGACTTCAGAATTACTACTTTCTGCTCATAGTCTGTTTATCTCAAGCCAACTTCCTTGGCTTTTTGAGTCTTTATTCAATTGGCCTTGATTTTTCTTTCAAGTTCCCTTCATTTGGATTTGGTGCCCTGGTTCTGTCTGACCTGGTTGCCTGTTTGGACTTGGTCCAGTTCTCTTGTCTATCAGGATGTCTGGGCTGGGAAAGACCCAAGTCTCAGCTGTGGGATTTGGTGACTCCCCTGGAAGTCTTCTGTGTATACAGAGAGGATCAAGTGTCACAAACAAATACCTTCAGGCAGGTAACAAATGTGTGAAGGCTAGCTATTAATACACAGTGGTGCCTGTAGGATTTAAATTCCTGTGGAAAAACAAAATCAAATAAATAAAACCTATGGGCTGCCTAAACAAAACAATCTGTGAGCTAGTTGCTGCTCTAGCTGTCAAACGTTTGTGACCCCTGGGTTAGACAAAACCTCTGAGCTGTCCTGACAGGTTTGGGAAAACACAACTAGTCCTTATCGCCTCAACTATCCTCAGCTCCTGGCCCAGGAGCTCCAAGGGAAAGAATCTGTACCCTGCCCACAGCTGGGGTTCAGACATTTACAGACTTGTTTATGAACTGCCGGGGTACTCAGTGGAAGCAGACTGCTGAAAGTGCTGCTGAGAGAAAAATCATCAGAAGGGAGGAAGCGGGCTGACGTAGGCTGCAATGTGACCCCGTCCCCACGGCAGCCTAGTGGCAGTTCCTCTATGCCACCGGGCTCCGCTGAGCAGTAAAAGCTAAAGAGCCGTGTCATTAAACTACGTCTCACGGCTGGCGGGGACGGGTGTGCACCTCGACCCCCACAGGCTGGCTCCCTCTTCCCCTCGGACTCCAGCACCAATTTCCCACCAGTCCACGCCGTCAGAGAGCCGCCAGCAGCTCCCGCTCCGTTTACGTACGCGCTTCCCACCCTTTCCGCGCCTGAGTCCCAGCTCCTCCCCGAAGCTGTCCCCAGCCGCCCGCCCCGCCGCACCTGCTCCGGCTTGGTCACGCGGCCGGGCTGTGGAGACGCGAATGTAAACACAGCCCAGTGGCAGCTGCGGACCCGCCTCCCCGGCAGCGCCCCGCCGCGAACGCATCCGTGCGCTCGGCGCCAAAAGAATAAACGAATGCAAGAGTCTGGGCGCGGGGAGAGGAAAGAAAAGAGCGCCCCCCAGCAGCCGACCTTCCCTGCGCCCGCCCCAGGGCGGCGCGGCCTCGCACAACCCCTCTCGCTACAAAGTGAGAACCCGAGGTTGGAGCGCCCAAAGCGAGGGCGGACGACGCCGAAGAAGACCCGGCCTCCCATAGGCCAAGGCGACGCAAGGGTGGGCTCTTCTTTCAGGAGTGGGCTGCGTATTGGTCGAGTCTTCGGACTGAGGGCTTGGGATTGGCTGTGCCGGTCCTCCGCGGAGGGACAAGAGACGAGTCCGAAAGGCGTGGCCGGCGCTCGATGCCGCCCCGAGCGTTCTGGGCTCCGGCTGGAGGGCAGTGCTCGCCGCTTGGGACCCCCACCTCGGGGCCGCCGCATGGGGTTACTGGGCCCACTCCGGACGTGCGAGCCGTTCGCGGTGCGATAGGTAAGCAGTGGCTGGTGCGCGGGCCCGGGCGGCGGGGGCGCTGGCCCGGGCCAGACACACGCGCGCGGCCCGGCCCGGCCCCCTCGCCTCCGGGTCTGTCCACTGGGTAGTAGCCTTGCGGGCCGCCGCGCCTCGTGTCCCCGCGGGGGAGGGCACAAAGGCTTCCTGGGGGTGGGAGCGCCTCGTGCCTTCGCCTCCATTTTGCGGGCGGAACGGCATGTGCGGTCTCGGCTGAGGAGGGAGGCCGGGCTTGGGAAGGCCGGGGCGCGGCGAGGGAGCGCGCGTGTCCGTGCATCGCGCGCCCTTTAGGTGCGCCGCTGGTCGGCTGGGCCGCGGGGAAAATCACTCTCCCTTAGGCCTCTGCCAGCGTTTACCCTTTGGGGCCAACGCAGCTCAGGTGGTTCCTACGAGAAACAGTGATACGAACCACGCCACCCTACCACGCCGCCCTACCGGCGTGAACGCAACAGCCCCAGATGCGGAGGAGAAGCTGATGTCTCACTTTTGTGCCCAGAAGGGCTACCTTTTATAACTGTCATCAATAGACCAGTTCTCAGCAGCCCGAGGGCGAATTCCAAAACCTGTTCCAGGCCCTTTATAATTATTAGATTGGGTTTAGCATATTGTTTGCAATAAAAATGAGCGGAAACCTGCCAGTGCCAGGGCAGATTGGACCTCTTGAGACTTGGAGGCAGGGCACGAAGACAAGCAGCGTTTGTAAATACCCTAGCAGTTCTCAGATCTAGGCTGTAAAGGATGTTGTTAAAATGCCTGAGTGTTGGGTCAGTTTGCTTTGGGCTTGGTTAAAAGAAGAAGTCACCACTTTTCACTTTTGTTACCTTCTTGCCCTTTCCAACACCTGGTCAGCTCTGGGCCTTTCAGTACAGAAGAGAGTAAGAAACTCAGTTTCGCCTCTTCTGGAAAGCTTTTTAAAGCTCTTCCTCACCTTACAACTGATAATGTGTCCCGCATATGGCTACCTCTGTTTTTATACATCACACTGTATTGTGGTTTCTCTAGCCCCTAGCATAATGCTTGGAACATAGAATAAACTTGGTGATGGAAGGAAGCCAGAAGAAAACAAAACAAAACAAAAATTAGCATAGTAGCCCAAAATTGACACAACGGAAGTTTACTCCTTTAACTTCGTGGGTCAGTTATTCTTAGAGGTTAGGGAGGCAGCTGAGCTCAGGCTAAGTCAGATTTTAGCTGTACCATGTTAGTGTGATTAAGTTATTTAACTTCTCTGTGCCTCAGTTTCCTCATCCTTAAAAGGGGAGTAGTAATAGTACCTACACCATATGTTATGAGTATTAAATGAAATATTGATATAAAGTGGCTAACTTAGTTACTGACACAAAGAAAATGTTCAGTAGCTGTTAGCAGTTAAGATAAAAATAAATAGTTTCTTGAACAGACCCAGCAGTACTGAATATCATTATGGTACTTGACCCTTCAGAGTTTGCCTTTTGGGCCTTATTTGATCCTTGCTTTAGAAAAATCCCTTAAGCCTTTACTGATTCTCCCACAGCAGAAGTATTCCATTTAAGACTGTCTCTTTATGCATCTAGGGTCTTACCAATTGCTAAAGATTGGTTAGGTGGCAAATAACAGTTTGCCCAAGAATTACAGTAGTATTTAATACACTTGAATGGGAGTCTGTTACTTGAAATGGTCATGTAAGAGCAGAGCAGTATAATAGATGAGGCCTGATGTGGGTGACAGAAATCTTTAGGATGATTGGTCGGCCACAGAGAGGCTGAGCTTGTGGATGTGGATGCTGCTTATATCTTAAATCTGTTTTCATAAGAAACTGTCTCCTGCCTTTAAAGTGGCTCACAAACATTGTGAAAAGTGGAAAAAGTCTTCCTGTTGGCTTTAGACCTGTTTGCCAGATCTAGAGGTGTCAGATACAACCCCTGGGGGATATTGCCTCATTTCCAGGTTTTCCTGTACTACTTTCTGGTCACAAGAAACAGGCTACGTTGTATATTTCCTCTTCCAGCTGCAAGCACCCCTTACCTTGTCAATTTCTCTTAAATTATTTGGAGTCTGGAAAACAAATACTTTTCTCCTGCTCACTTATAACTGACACAGTTCTGGTCTGGGATTCTGTTTTTAGTATACTCAAAATGAATCCTGAATCTTTTCTGGGGAATATTATTCCTTCTGGGGACTCCCTTCCAGCTGTGACATTCTGTAATTAGCCATTAAAAACCTGCCACAAGGTGTGAGCCTTTTCTAATGTCCTGTTGCAAAGTCTTCGAGGACAAGAACCATAAATTTCCTTCTTGTGTGGGTCTGGCACATCATAGATGCCTAAGGAATTGTTGTAAAGCTAGTATATTAACAGTTCCATTTTAGGATGCTTAAATAGTCTTACCACTGTAGTGGTTCTGAAACATTGTGCTTACCAACTCATCTGGAGATACTGTTTAAACACAGGTTCTGATTCCAAGGCTCTGGGGCAGGGCCTAAGAATCTGCATTTCCAAGAAGGTGATGTGGATGCTGCTGATCCTGGATCACACTTGGAGTAGTAAAGTACTAACTTAAATATCTGTGTTTGCTTTTTGGAAGTACTAGGTACATGGGCTTTATTTTCTTATGATATTGGAATAAAATCTTGGATTTAGGAGATTTTTTCTCTTTTTTTTTTTTAATTAAAAAAATATATATGGAAAGGTTCACAAACTTCCGTGTCATCCTTCCACAGAGGCCATGCTCATCTTCTCTGTGTCATTCCAATTTTAGTATATGTGCTGCTGAAGCAGCACTAGGAGTTTTTTTCTATTTTATTCTGCTCTTAACAATTCCTCTATCCTGTTCCCAAAAAAATGATTATAGGAATCTTTCCAAGATACTTCTGGTGTTATAAGGTTTTTATTTATTTATTTTATTTTATTTTTTTGAAACAGTGTCTCACTCCATTGCCCTGAGTAGAGTGCCGTGACATCAGCCTAGCTCACAGCAACCTCAAACTCCTGGGCTCTAGCCATCCTCTTGCCTCAGCTTCCTGAGCAGCTGGAACTACAGGCACACACCACGATACCCAGCTAATTTTTTTATTTTTGGTAGAGACAGGGTCTTACTCTTGCTCGGGCTGGTCCTGAACTCCTGAGCTCAAGCAGTTCTCCTGCCTTGGCCTTCCAGAGTGCTAGGATTACAGGCATGAGTCACTGTGCCCAGCCACAAGGTTTTTAATAAAAGCAATTAAGGCAGATAGGATGAAAGAAAATGAAGAGAAGTCAAGGGAGAGATTAGCACAAAGGGTGAGTGCCTGTCTGCCCTATACATTTTATCTAGGTGGAGCTGCACGTTTGGCTCTGATCTTCCTAGCAGCCAAAGCATTATCCGTTTTGCCAATACCTTTAAAAACAAACTTGGCTGTTCAGTGAAAAAAGCTGTTTCTGTTATTGAGGTTAGAGAATTCTTCTCCTGTGGATTCTCCAAAGAGGACAATTTGGTACACTGAATGTCATTCTTAATAGTTTTATCTGTGGAGAAAATCGGTAAGATTCTTCATACACGAAGCTTGATAGCTTCACAGAAAACTAAAAACTGTAAGTACAGTAAAAGCAGTGGCCTGTGGAATTACAAGCATGTGGTCCAGGTACAGCTTCTTCTGAGAGTAGGAGTAATTTTTGTTACAGGAAAGCTATTTTTCTGTTTTGCTCTTTGGTGGGAAGAAGGGTACAGTTGATTGACATGTTCAGTCCTCAGCATCCTTGTACTTTGAGCTTTGTTGGATAGGGACACTCTGCTGACTTCTGAAGAGGCCGCAGAGCTTGGGGGTGAGGGCAGGGGTGGCTGGAAGCTCAACCAGGCACCTGTGGATGTGGCAGTTGACTCTCTTTAAAGACCGTTTAAAGATGTTGTACATTAGCTGGGCATGGTGGCACACGCCTGTAGTCCAAGCTACTTGGGAGGCTGAGGCAGGAGGTTTTCTTAAGGCCAAGAGTTCGATCATAGCTGCAGTGAGCCATGATCACACTGCCACTGCACTCCAGCCTGGGTGACAGAGCAAGACCCTGTCTCTAAAATAAATAAATAAATAAAGACCTCTTACAATGAGTAGGAAGATTGGCCTTGTTGAGAGGCTGTCTGGTGGTCCTAGTCAGTCAGCTCACAGGTGAGTGAGTGAGAAAGTGAAGGGACACACAGCCAAGCAGCCTGGCTCATAGCCCTCCCAACCACATTGACCTAGAGGGACCCACTGGCTCCCCCTAGGGAGCTGGAGGACTCCTGTTCTGTTGACTCTGAGCAAAACTTACAGAGGCATCCCTGGGGTGAGAAAAGGGGCTACAGGTGCCGGATCCTGCGCCTGGCCTCAGCCATTGCCCAGCCAAGGCATACGGTCTACCCCTCCATAGCTTTGAGTCTGTTCTTCATTTTCATGTCACTCTGATTTCACCTGCAGAGAAGGGGAACAAAGTGCTCAGGGTGACCTACCCCACAGGAAAAGATGGCCTGGCCTGGAGGTCTGAGGGGCTACAAGGGGCCTTTTCTGCAGCCAGGGAAGGAGCAGGTGGAAGGGCAGTTGCTCTTTGCTACTATCCTCTCAGTCTCAAACCTCCAGCCACAATTTTCCTGGCTCCTACCCACCTTGAGGCGGGCCTCTTCTGGCTGCCCCCTGTGTCAGCCTCCCCCACAGGCATCTTTACCCCCTTTCCTGCTGCCTCCCACGCTTTTATAGGCCTCTGCCTTTAAGCTCCCTTCTC